TTATAATATGGATGACTATAGTAGCCTGATTATTCTGCATATTCAGTTCAGCTATCCAAAAGGAGCAGATATTTTGCAGAGGTGAGTACCACAACCTAGTTCTGAACTCCACAGGCTGGCATCAATTGGGATATTCTCTTCTCTCCTCCATGCTTCACTAGACTAGCATGTACCTACGCATGTACATGTACACACCTTTCAAAATCCAAGATGATGAGCTTTAAAACAGAGGTGTTCCCACTTAAATCCTTATGAAGCTTTTGGTTGTTTGGCTAGCATCAAAAAATATTCTGAGCAGAGTGCTACTAAACACTTCCCTCTGCTGCTAAGACCCTGGCATCCTGTTCCAAAACAGGGTGTCTTTTAAAGAACTTCCTGGAGAAGGACACAGTGATAAGACTGGAGTAATCTTACCAAATACTCCTTCATTTGCACTAGACATCCAGGCAGTTCAAAACAGCTAAATCTTGTATGCCAACAGGAGAGAGTGGCTTGGACTGTTAGGAAAGAATTCTCCCCTTCTATGTAGTTCTCTGCTCCTCTCCCATCTTGCTGGCTACTGTGGCAGTTATTGCAATTAAAAAAAAGCTGACTTTTTTCAAACAAATATTGTTCTAGTTAGACTGGCTGATTCCTTCACAGAACAAGACAGATGGCAAGCAGCTTCACAGTCAGAAGATCAGTATTCAATGGATTTGTGCTTTTGTTTCTGGCAGGACATGGGATTAAGTTTCACAAATTTAAGATTTATTTTGTGATTTAAGATTAAGAGATTTGGGATTTAGGATTTATTTTGAATAAGAATTTTCCCTGCTAGACATGAAATCATCTAAGGACAAATGGAATCTTTAGGTGCCAAAGTAACACACAGTGGTTTAAAATCTAAATTTATCTTTTCCTGATGGATACTCATGGCAGCAGACAAATGGAAGCAGGTATCTCGTACAGATTTAATGACTGGGTCTATCAAACAAAAATTCCCGAAACGTTCCTAGAGCACTCAGTTGCTAAAATCTGATTATAACAGAATAAAGTGACAGCTGACTTTCACATTTTAAGAACAAAAAGGAAAGAAATAGGCAGGTACAGTACTACAAACAAGCATACCAAACAACTTCCTTACTTAGTAATATGACTAGTGACCCATATAATGGACAAGGATTTAACACAGACTGAAGAAAGTACCATGAAAACTGGAATTCTGATCTGACCTGCAGAAAATGGTGTTGAGCTTTAAATAGTAATAGTTGTGTTCTCATACAGAGTGGAGGGGTTAAATTTTCTAAACTTTTTTCAGAATGCTGGAATACAGTAACAGAAAAAAATGTTTTACATTGTTAAAATATTTTTTACGTTAAGAGTACAATGTTTGAGAATGTAAATGCATAGGACGTTAAAGAAATATCAGTGTGAGCTCATTGTAATTTTCGTCAGGAAAAACTCCTGTAAATTAATGTACAGTCAGACTATATGTTCACCACTTTGGATTCTAAATATTTAATGATTATCATCTTTCTGCCATACAACTATTACTTGCACATTCCAAAATTACTGCCAATTTAGAAATTTTTACTACTGAAATTTAGAAATGAAGTAATGCATGTGGATAAAAAGCGAATGTCTCAATGCAATGATTCACCTTATTTTAGAGCAAGGCCTCATTTTTGTGGCTCACAAAACAATGGTTTCTAAGACCCCTACACCGGATAGACTATGTTTCTAAAGCAGCATATGAAAAGTGGTAATATTCAATAAGAGAGAGACAGAGTCTTGAAAAATCACGGACCAACCCAACATTCTGTTAACATTAATTTTATAAAATACCTTACAAGAACAGATAAAGAACTTGAGCTTACATAATAACCAAAATTTAAAAAGAATATTGAATAAAATATAAATTAATTGAACACATCACTAAGTTTGCCACATGTTAGACAAGTTTATAAAAGGCATTTTCAGATAAAATAGTTATTTGAAAGAAAATCCTTCAAAATGGGAACTACTGAAGTCCTTTTTCAAGAAGTCATTCCTAAAAGCGCTAAATTCCAGGTCAACAGGTAGTACCTGAATTTGCTTAGAATACGGTGTTCATTTGCTTCAAAATTTGTCAAGCTTTAAGACACAAATTTAAATGCTTTCAGGTCAGAGTCATCAGTGCAAAGTAAAGCTTCAAGCCGAAAATGAGAGAAGTATAACAGAAGAAATGATCCTGGTACAAAACTTTCTAAATTCACATTATGAAAAAAAATAAAACCCAACTGTGCCAGATGCACTCTTGAGATACTGAACATTAACAAATTTTACCAGTGGCCATTTTAGGGTTCCAGCCAAGCCATTAACATAGCTAATCATATTAAATTCATTTATCACAATTTCATTTTTTTCTACTCATAAGAAGTCTTTGGAAAAGATCCATGCTGCTGATGTCCACTTTGCTCAACTTCTGATTCAGCCAATTTGTTTAAAAAGCAGTAATTTAGCCAAAAGGAGATAAAAGGTGAGGCCAACAGACATCAGAATGATGGTCTAAAGCCTGCAATGACATTTAATTAGAAGAAATAGGATAGCACGTGTTTCTGAGTTTAACCAACTTTGTTCGTTCAAGCACTCTCACTGAAGTCAATCTTCCTTAAAGTTATATATGTGCGTAACACACTGCCAGGCTCTAATCCTTAAGTCTTTCAAAGGCTAAAATATGTTTAGAGAACTATGTGTTTAGAGAACTACGCTGTAGCCAGATTAATTTCTTTTAAACCTATTAATTCCTGCGTAGTAAACATCAACACTCTACCAAAGCAATTTTGCTCTGTTTGACTTTAAAACTATTAACCAAAACAGGTTTGAAATAGTCTTCACGTTCCACTATTTAGAAGTGTTATTAGCACACTCACTTAAAAGATTACTGGAAATCTTTTCAAGTTACCACTCAGAATATTGCTCATCAAGCTTTTTTTCACACATACTGGGGAAAAAAAAAAAAGTGTCACTGGTGGTCACAACTAGAAAGGAGAAGCAACAATTTAAAAACCTTAATCTATCAGGCAGCAGTTCCAGCCTCTAATTGAAACATAAGGCTCTCATTTATACTAAGCTGCTGCATAAAAATGAGAAAATGAGTTCTCCATTACAATTCAAAATTTAAAAACTCAATCTGAAGATTGTTTGCTCATCCTTGTAAAGCGTTCTTTTTTCACTGTCATCGGTGCTACGCTGGCAGTTATGCTAGAACCTCATTTACATAATTCCAGTACAACCACAGTGTTTAATTTAATAGTATGAATCATTTCGAATTTAAAGTTAGCTAAAATGCTACAGTGATGTTGTAAACAAACCAAATGAACAAGAGGGTTCATGACTACACAAAACCTTCCCCCAAAACATAGGAAAGAAATTTACTTGAACTAAAAGCACGGAATATAACTTCAACCAAAACTTTTCGTAAGCTATGCTCAAGGAGCGTACATTTAAAGGAAGCTGCAAATGCCCTTTTCTAGGACATAAAACTCAGAATCATTTGCTTGAATCAAAATGGAACAGAAGCTCTTCCCTGTACCCTGAATTTACCTGATCATCTTTTATCACCAAAGCAGATTAATGATATCCATACTATGCTTTGTGATGCTACAAAATAATTTACTTAATTAGTTGTATGAATAAGTTCTTTGATGAAATGATGAACTTTGAGATATCACAGTAATTTCCACTGGGTGTTTGCGGTTATTTTGAATCCTGCAATTCAGCCATTTGCTACCTTTAAAAAAAAAATGAAATCTTTAAAACATGCATTGGCTGCGGAGATCTGATCCTAGAAGTGATATAACTTTTACCACTTGCTGTGAGTGAAGGAGAACACTGACAGCTGAAAGGGAACAATAAATACATACGTCACACCCAGCTTAGCACAATGTGAAAATTCTCATACACTGGTCACATCTCAAAATGTGAAAAATACTCTAACTACCACATGGTTTTACCTTTCTAATAGTAATAAAAGAAAAGAGGATTTCAAAGTTTCCTAAAAAAACCCAAGAAAGCAGCAATCTTAAGAATTATTCTGGAAATATTTTGACTCTTGACTTTGAATGTACTAAGAACAGAGTTGTCTTCTCTCTCTCTTTTCTAAAATGGGGAAGATTTTTAATTTGGGCTCAAAAATAAAACATCAAAGCCTGTAGTATTGCTAACCACATAAAGCGAAAATGTATTTCCAAATAAGCACCTGGAAAGCGAGTGAATGAATTTGGCTATTACACACATACTTGAGAATAATAAAGTGTACAGAGGAGGAGGTTATTAAAGAACTTTGCAAAAAATATTGCTACAGTAGCATTAGGAATTAACAGTGCATCAAAGATTTAAAGTTTCCATGTTAATACAAACTGATCCAAGCCACAATGAACCACAGGATAATCATTCAACCAAAAAAAAAAAAAAAAGTTAACCGCATTGTACTTTACAGATGCTAGAACTGGTATTTACCTGAATACCATTAATATGATTCAAAAAGATTCCTTCTTGTCTAGCATGCCTCAGTTTACATAGGTCATAGGGAACTGGTGCCATTAGTGTGTATCAAAGCACAGTATTATCACGTGCATTTGGCTTTTTTGAACATTTGCAATCAAATACTCAAATTTGAAAGAGCTTTTACATGTCAGAACTCAGTGTCACTGCTGCATGAAGTGTTTTATTTGTTGATTGGGGTTTTTTTGTGGAAACTGTATATAAAAGACCTTGAGGACTACAGTCATGGAATTCATATTAAACAGAAAGCTGCCCAACATTACTGTCAAAATACCTTTAAGAAGGCAGTTCATAGACAGAATAATGCATTTTACATTCAGATATTTCCTCTCTCAAAAGCAAAGGAATCTCAGAAGAAAAAAAAAAAAATCAGTAGTGAAGGCCACATACTTTTTGCATTCGATGAGCTGAAATGCAAAAAAACATAATTAAAGCATCTTGTAAGAGAAAAAAAATGCACAAACCAAACACAGAACTTCTGGAAAGTGATGTTTTAGTTGATGGGGTGGTCAGCATGGAAACTGTTGGGAATGCTACAGCAGAACTGACCACAAGTAAAAGGAAATATGGACAGGAACATAGTACAGGCATCAACTAGAAAACTGTAACTTGCCAACTTGTAAACAAGAAAAAGCATTTCACAGATTAAAAGTTCTAGGGAAGTAAACTTCTTTAAATTATTCTGTCAGTTCAACCCTGATTTAAAAAAGTATGGCTAGCAAAAATACATAAGCCTCAGCATATTTATAAGTCTTGATCAGAGCAGCCATGAGCCTTTGATAAACGGCGGGAAACAAACACCCTTCTACTAAGGATGAAAGAAAAATATTCCATTCTCTTCTTTCTCTCGTTTCCCAATCCACATGTTATATGTAGAATTCACATGCTCCAAGAATATCTTGATGCTGCTATAGATTGAGACGTGGGGAGACTGGTGGAGGAAAACAGACAAACTCTCTCAAAATACTACGGGCCACATCAACATTATTCTGGGCAATTTCAAGTGCCCTCTTGACTTCTTCAAAGGAGTAGCCCTCTCCCATAAGTTTTGCGATTTTGGCATCCACATTTTCCATGGAACTGTCAGAGCTGTATGCTTTCCTGTGGTGTATTTCTGGTGCAGTCCTCCGAGGAAGTGGTTTAGGGGGCCTGGCTGGTGCTTGGGAACCATCTGTTTCAAATAAAGGAGACAGAAATCATTATAAATTGGCTTAAAATAGTGTTATAGGTAAGTCAAGCCTCACAAAGCCATTTCAAAAGTAAAATTCTAAAAGAAACACGAAGAGATATTTTAATTCACTGGTATATCTCATTTTAAAATTTGGACAGATGCTGAATTCCTCAAAACATCCTAAAATTGAAATAATGTAGTGAAATACTATTTTAATAACATAACAGGAACATGCAAGCTACAATCTGAATTATCCAATGTTGGAAGAAAAAGAAAGTATGATGAAACAGCAAAGATGGCAAAAATAGCCAGTCAAAGTTTTAAAGGCTCTCCACTCTCAACTCACAGTTTGAGAACTTTTTCTTAGACTGTTTAAAAAAACAAAGCCAAATTTGATCACAATTTTATTCAGGACTGTAAGTTGTGCAGAAGATGAATCCAGTCAAAGACGCCTGAGGGAGAAAAATCCTTCACTTATTGGTACATCTTGCAGATTCTGTTCAGTCAATTGCAGTTCTTATCATGCATAGCAGCTATGCAGAAGTACAGAAATAACTGGTTTCTCAAAAAACCCTCTAGTCCAATATTTTCAGTGATGAGAACAGAACACGAGCCTTCCTCTCCAATTTTCCTTTGGAAATATCTCCCCTTTCCTTCTCTTCTATGGAAAGGTTACCTTCACAGTTAATGCTGATGCTAAGAATCATGATGTGCTGATGAAAAAATCTAGTATTCAAACTTCCTAATCTCAGTCTCAAGAGTTTCATGCTCAAGTAAACTTGGTACTTTACTGAAACCTCTTTATCCTCACTGATTCCACAATAAGAAGCTTAAATACAAGCAGGCATAGAGCAGAAAACACTTTCAAGAGCAAAGTATTTAAAAAAAAAAAAAGTCTTTAATCCTTCAAAAAGGGTTCTAAAAAGTTCCATCAACAGTGACATTGATAGATAAATTAGAGGAATTTCTTTCTGGCTGTGATACTTCTTGTTTACTTACACTGACAGCAATTGCATTTTGCAGTGTTAAGTACTTCAGAGGCAGTTTTTTAGTGATGAAAGAATGTTGTATTTCTAGTATTGCTGTTACAACATCGTACCTTATCATAACACTGGATAGAGAGAACTGTAATTCAACCGAGTACCTTAAACACTTCAGATGAACGAAAGCAGTTCACATTAGTGAATGTCTAACCAAGGTGTATTCCTCTTTCAACTTAGTTTCCAGCTATTCAGATGAGAGTGTTGCTATAAATTTTAATTCCATTTCTTAATTCAGAGAAGATAAGCAAATAGTACTTTTAGCAAGATGGTGATACTCATAACGCAAATGGATGAGAGCAATTTGATTAAAAGCTTACAGTAAGGGGGTAAGATTAATTCTGTTCTAATTTCATTGCCTGGTTTCCTTACAAATGGTTATGATACAACCTACAGATAGTAAGGCCTATTTTGGATTTGTTATGATTTTTTTCTCTCTGAAGATGAAAAGAATGATATAAATGCTAAACATTCTAGTAAAGACACCTGAAGCAGATCAAAACCTGCTATGAAGGTGTGGAAGATCCATGAAACATGCTGGTTTGAGAAATTAGTTATAGCTCAGGAAATGTGGTTAATAACTAAAAACTACATCAGAAACAAGTTCAAATTTGTCATTTTACTTATTTTAGAGAACTCAAGACTGTAACAGAAAAATATTCTTTATATTTAAGATAATGGTGTATCATCTTAAAAACAATCTATTTTCTTTCACAAACATTTCAAACTGTTTTAACACGCACATTTCGTTATGGACTTCATTTCTACAGAGGATGAAACAAAATTTATTTGTAAACTTTACATTTTCCCCTGGGCTTGAAGTACAGAAGAAATTCCTTACGTGTAGATCAGATCCTTCTCTGTGTGTGTGTGTGTGTTACATAAAGTATTTTTTTTGCTCTACCCAGCCTAATACAGGCTTAAAACTGAAGTTATTTCTTGTTTAAAACCTTCATTCTGCTGAAGCTTCCAAACAAACTTTCTTAAGCTATCACATCGTTTAGAAAGGCCATTTTTAATTCTGTCAGCAGATTTGCAGCATAGGCATTTTATTCTCACTCCGGTGACATCTCTCTATAGCACAGACACTGTAAGATCTTCAGCCCTCTCTCTCTCTCTAACTCAATTCCCTTTATTATTTTTTTAAGCGCTGACATCTCTTTCAATATCTTCACATCCACATAAAATTCTAGCTGAAGCTGGGTATCACATTGGATCCTGAGCTTAAAGATACTAAGCCTAAGCTGCAGGTCCATCTGGACACTGAGATAGAGATATTTAAGCACAAGTTTCCTTCCCAACCTCACATCCTCTCTGATGTTTCAGCCACTGTGGATGCCTAACTAAAAATTCAAATAGATTTTCTAACTGTCTAATTCAATTAACGGTTTCTACAGCAAGGATCTTCCTCTATCACTCACATTTCTGTAATTTTCTGCACTAGATTTAACCCTTAGGAAACAAGCAGAAACAGGCTTCTTTAATAAGTGTTTAAAAAGCGAAGAAAAAGTTATAAGGCAAGAGCTGCGTGGCACTGTGGGAGGCGGATATTCCTAACTGCACCTATTGGTCCATCAAGCTCTTAGGTACGATCTTCTTCTTTTCCAGTACTGTAGCAGATTAGTCCCCTTAGAGTTAATTGAAATCCACCCTGAAATAATATGTGACGCCTTCCCCCCAACATTTCCATGTAAAGCAATTTAAATTTGCATGCAAGAGCTTTAATAAGACCAGGTGAGTAAATAGGCTGCAGAAAAATATCGTTAACTAGCCATTTGAATCCATTTCTTACAGAATAGCTAACTTCAGTGAAATACAGCAGACATCTATATTAGAGGCCTAATTTTCTTCTAACTTTCCCACATATCATTGGCTGTGCTTAGGTAAAATATGCTAAATATTAGCAGTATCTCCTTCTCTTGCTTTTATTGTAATAATTTTTTAAAGTTGTATTTAAGAAGTTTGAAAAACTATGCCTTTGGGATAGTTAGGTGCATAGTCGAGAACTATTTCTTAAGTGTTCAATATTAAATATGTTGCTAAATTAGAATAAATTTCTTATTACATGTTAACAATTCAGTTAAACATCATTACAGCAATCTTAAGAACAGTCAAATCGAAGCACCAAAGTCAAAGGACTCCCCGTGCTACTCTAGGGAGCCAGTGGCTAAATAATAATTAGATTTTAGAGTGAACCACACATTTTTTTCCTGCTAGTTCAAAGAATTGCCATATGAAAGGGCTGAAATGACAAATTTCCTAGAGTGAACTGATTAGTTCAGAATAAATGCTGGAAAGTTCTGAATAGAGTTACACCTCTACATTGTCTTTTTGAATCATAGATGAAGGTGAATCAGTTCATCCTGAAGCTCATCAGTTCTGTTCTATGGAATTACTGCCACTGTAAAAACAACTTGCCAATTAAGAGTATGACATGATCTATCACATAGTTTTCATTTAATTGAAATTAAATTGAATATCTTGCTGTACATCATGCTGATTTAGAATGATATTTATTGCAAAGGTCGACACATGTGAGTGTTTTAGAAGATGGCTGTGGGAAACACACAGACAGAAAAGTATTTATTAAGTGACATCAGAAAGCTCCAAGATCTTAAGTAGCAAACATCTTGCAGTAATTTAGGAAAATTTTTAATTTTCCTACCACAGAATTGCAAGAATTGCAGGAAATTTCTGTAGCTTTAAAAGGTAGTTATATCATTGTCATAATTCGTATTATAAAAGACTTTCCAATGCTCTAAATAAATCAGGTTAATGTTGTAAGACAAACAGATCTCTCACAGTGTCACCTATAAAACGCATTATAAACCCATTTTTTTTTCCTAACAATATGAACAAAAATAGAAACACTGTTATAGTAGTAGAGGTATCCTCCCCAAAGTGCTACTGTTTACCAAAGACATCACACTAATTCTCAAATGTGCTGTTCATTAAAAATTCTGTAGCACTCTTCAGGCTTACTTAATGTCCCCCGTACTTTAAGTTGGAAAACTATATTCTTTCATTCCTACACCACAGCAAAGATGAACTACATTATTTGTAAGAAGGAGAGATATAATTACAATTAAAAAAATGTATCATTTTTCTACTTGTGATTGTGGCAATTAAACACTGATGATCATTACAACTGAAAGACTAGAGAAATAAGTCCCTTAATTTCTTTATGCATTAGAAAAGAGTTTTCACACACAATTCACTCTTATCTGGAGAACGAGTAACAGTTCAAAGCAGCACTTGGCTCTTTTTTTGTGTGGCCTCCCCACACAGCAAAATGATACAGGTGGAACAATCCTCCCCCTTTGAAATACAAGTAATACTTTAATATTTCATATTTTATAGTTTTTTTAATTAATTTGAGTAGCTTTTCTTTGCATATTATTCATGTTGCCAGAAAACCATAAGCAAAATTTCTATGGCAGAGGAATTGCTTCTACTGGACCTGTTCCATTGCAAAGGGAAGACTGAGTTTTAATTGTTTTGGGTTCTTGTTGTTTTATTGAAAAACATTTTAAAATTTTCTTAGAACTTTAGACAAACATATTAGCAAAAAATATCAGAAAATAATAATACTTTAGAGAGTAAAGCTGCTACTTTTTTTTTTTTTTTTTTTAGGAATAAGGAAACAAAGATGGAAGTGACATGCATGTGGTCCTTGCAGGACTTCTGATCTCCTGTGGGCTTTAAAGATTGCAGAAAAATCTCTGCCTTTCTCAAAAATTAAGGAACTCACATAAGCACTCAGTTTAGCAGCTGGTGAAATTGATGCCATAGAATCTACACCGCAGACAACAGGCAGCCACTTGTACCATTATTGCTGCCCTTTAATCTCTATTATCCTTTGATGAATTCATATTTTGAAAAGCAATATTACCATTGCCATTTGTTGCCCAGAATGACAAAAACCTTATTGGACTTTATAGATGAAAGTTATTTGCTTCATAAAGTTGTAATTTTCTACAAGAAGAGTCTTCTACCTTACCTGAAGAGGAAGGAAGTTGATCGTAGTCTTGAGATGTCCTATTTGTTTTGACGTTTTCTCCAGTTACTCTACGAGCAGGTGGCAAAGGAACATGACCACTTATCGGATCAAAATGGGGATCTGTAATAACAGAACAAAAAAAGGTGTCTTAGAATAATTCGAATTATTATTTGGGGGTGGGGGAGGGCTGATGCATAGAACCTAGGCTTAAAATACCTTCCCTTCAGAACAGCCATGAACCCAGAGGTGTTTCCCCATAGCGTGCACATACGCATGTGTACATCCAAATTCAACACTTGCATAGTAGACATGTAACTATGTCTTGCAGTGACAAAAACAAGAGCACAGCTCAAAGGTGATCTATCCTGCACGGACCATGGCTCTTCTGCCTACATCCATGAGGTATCTTTCAACTACTCAGCCCTGACACTGCTAAGAGTGTGGCTGGCAAAGCGTGGAAGAGGTTGCAAAGCCTGAAGCAGCACAAGTAGAAATATCCCAGCTATTCAGTTTGGTTAGAGCTTGGTAACGCTTCTATGCTTTGCAGTTCACAAAGACTGCAGGTCAGATTTCCCAGTCATACAGTCCCAGCTATGGGTAAACATTACAGGGACTGGTAAAGGCTGTGACCAGGTTTTTCAGTTCTCTCTGCTGATTACAGGAACAGAATTTAAGAAAGGAGAGAAATATATAGGCCTGGCGTGTTGTGCCTGGACTCCTAAGAGTGTTTGTATGTGAGTGCAACTTTTTGCTGTTGTTGATGGTGAGATTATTATTCTAATCTGACAGGCTCTGATGGATAGCTGAGAAATCACCCCCAAGACTTGTATGGAAAACGATCATCAAAACCTCATCATAAATCACCTACAGCAGTTTATTTGACAATATTCAAAGTGAGTAATATGGTTTTAGAAATACTGTATGAATAAGAAAAGACCTGAAGCAGCACAAAACCATGTATGCCTAAGTAGCGGTATATACTTAAAAGATTAATGAAAACTGCTGCTATAAGATTGTGTTCGCTATGCAAATATGAAGAACAATACATACATTTTTCCAGATTTTTAATGAAATGCTATTAAATGTTTAACACTATCAGTGATGTTTACTTGATTATTTGGAAATAACAACTTAAAACTCTGCATGTTTCTGGGAACTGCACATAGATTGACGGAGCTTGTGCATCTGCTTGTGAGGGCTTCTATTTTTCCTCTCCATTCCATTAGAACTGAATGGCACAGTGTGTGTTTCTGCATCAGATGATACAACCGAAGCACCCATTCAGACTGAACTGAAGAATAAAAAACGTTCCATAAAAGGTCATTTCAGTTCAACCTAAACTAGCTCACTTTCATCCCACAGCTAGTATCATTCACAAAGGTCAGTCAAACGCCCGACAACCTGTCAGGCTACTAGGGAGTTGCACATGATTGCTTGCATTCCTGTGATACTATTGCCAAAACATTTCATTTATCCCTCTCCGTGCAGCTTCTATGAAAAACAGATAGGAGAGGGAAGACATCTAACTGCATCATAAGGTAGATAATCACTGAAGATATTCCTGGCACAGGTAAACTTAAGACACCAACATACTTTAGAAGCTTCCACAGAGGGAAAAAAAAAAGTCACTTCACAGGTATGCACTGTAACGCGCAAAAATCCTGTTGTAATCTGTACCATCAGCAGCAAACATATTCAACTTCATTAACCTGACAATCAAATGCTCTTCAACTCAAAAACAAAACTCATAAATTGTGAACATAGCTTTTATACCTTTTATAAGTACCGAAAAAGCATCAGAGCGATTCATGGGGAGAGAAAGGTGAAAAACTGACTTATCAAAAAGGTTACGAACTACACACGCCCGCAACTGTGTTCACTATTAATATAGTTTTGCAGCAAAATTTTACAACAGTTCTAACAAAGTAGGATGTTCTTTTCCCTTATTTTCTAGTTTTTCCCCAAGATCCAACTTGAAAATAAACCCCATGAATTATGTTTTACTATAGAAAACAAAGGAGGTGACAAAGGGTACAGACCAGCATTACAGATTAGAACAGAAAACTTGGCACTTAACAAGTAACAACGTCTAGCCTGGTATAGAAATACTTACCTTATTTCATTACTTTGTGATAATGAAAAGTTAAGTCTTTTTATATACTGAGTTGTTTCATCTCCACCATTAAAAAAAAAAACCCAAACTATTTTTTAATATTTTGTATAATGAAGTATAGACAAAACAGACTTCTGAAGCCTGATGACAACAGAACAGATAAGCTTCTTAAGTAAAGGAAAATTAAACACAATATGTTCTTTCCTTTGTATTCCTACCAGAATGAAGGAACAGTTCATGTCCTGAAGAAGGTCGGCTTCCTGAGCCAGCAGGTTTTGTGTGCTCAATCATGCTGTGCCGAGCAGGTGGTGGTGGTGGTGGTAGTGAAGGGGGTGAGCTATCAAACGCATCTTCACCTGCATTTTAGAAAAGAATTATTAGATGAGCAAACTTCATTAAGAACTGCAGAGTAAAGAATGAAGCTTAAAATTTATTTTTCTCTGGCTGCTGAGGCTGTTAATTCTAGGGTTCACCTAGCAGTTCAGTGACTCCAGTAATGAAATTGTAAACCTGACTCTCACTATGCATGATCCTTTTCTAAAACACGCTCTGAATGACCTCTTGCAGTGCTTAGTTTCTTTTGGTATTGGGGAAGAGATTTCTTTTAGTGGCTCAATTGCAAAGAGTGTATTACAATAAAAACTTTCACTGAATATCATTGTAGAATAGCAGCTATGTTTCGGTGGCTAAGCAAAAATATTTATATTCAAACACCAATGCTGACTACATTGAATCTGCTACATTTATACTGTGTATTATCTTTATCTGCTGTTCTAAGGCTCTGACCTCAGATATAAACTGAACTTTCCAGGGCTTGGCAAAAGAATGCACCCCTTACACAAAGGTGATGCAGACAGGACTAAGGTTACCAAATACTGTGATTTTTATGTGTTCTTCTGCCTTCAATTCTATATACTCTCACAACTCAGAAACACTCCAGGGACCAGCGAGAGTATTATGCAGGAACATGGCCAATGTTCAAAAGGTTTTATGGAACCAGAAAATTGGATGATGACACACACACTACAGTCTAACAATCATGCAGCTGAGTTTGTCAATGAAGGCGTGGGTGGTGGCCAAGCACAGCCCCAGTATAGATGCAGAGCTCACTGACTTTTGTGTAGAAGAACAGAACAGAAATCAGGGTTGGAAAAGATAGCTTTTGGTGATTGTAGGCAGCAGTGAGTTTTGAACTGTCCCTTGATAGTGGAAAAAAGCCAGAAATAAACTTATTAATTTAATTTAGTTTTCTTTGACTTAAATACCACCTCTTTTGCATTCTTCTTTGTATTAGATAAAAGAAATGCAATTATTTAAGCTACAATAGGAAAAATGCTCCTCTCTTGCATTAAATTGCAATGGCTCAAACTTCATATTAAGGGACAAAAAAATTGTAATTTATTTAGGGAAAATGGTTTTGCTTTTCTTTATAGCTTGAATACAGATTTAGTATGCCTTTTCATCTGTCTTGTGTGAAGGCTTACAGACAGATACAAAGTACAGATCATTGACAAATATTGACTTGCAACTGTACTATTTAGCTGTTTGGTACTCTTAACATACTAAACATTGGTTATTTTTCAATAAACATGGCATTTGGTTTGTCTAGGCAATGTTAACCATTAAACGTAATCAGCAAAAGGTCTGCAACCTAAAGGGGGCACCAGAAGATCATAATCGGAGGGTGTCCTGTTGAGCAAAGAGCTGTGTTTTGGGTTGTCTCTGGTAGGAGGTCGTGCAGGCGGCAAAGGTACCGGAACAGCAGGTGCATCATAGACATCTCCTGAATGACACAATCACAAGAAGTGAATGTTTTCCTGCTGTACCCCTAGAACAGCACAGAGTAAATTTTCCTGCTAAATAGTGAAACATAAAAATATACCTAACTCTGGATGTTTTGATTTCTTCATCTCAGAAGCAGTACTGTGTGTCCCATTCGTTACTCCAGCACATTGACCATTCTCACACACCCTGGAGACAGACATTAAACATGAAGCAATCAACCAGTTATCCAAGTACTAATTCCCAGAATGACCAAGTACCTGAGCTGGAAATGAATACGGAAATGAATGAAAAAGGATAAGCTGCACCAATTTTAAACTTTACGTTTTCTATATTGAGAGCAGATATTGGTTAACCATCAATAAAAGTCCTTTGACGGATTATACTGCTTTCTTGGTGGGATACAGATATGGCTTAAATAACTTAAGGCTGCAAACAAGATAGAGGAAGAACTAACATTTAACATAGTTCTCACTTCAGAGCTCAGGTTGTCAGTTTATTCACAGACTTAATCCTATTTTGCCTTCCCAAGCGTTGAATTTTCCGTAGCAGAAATATGGTAAAGGGAAATGTGGATTTTGGTAATCCATGCTGAAGTTCACAGAGAAGTCATTAAACAAAATAGAACAAAGCAAGAAAAAAATCCCAAACAAACAAAAAGAACACTACAACACACCACTAGCAATAACAAATTTCAACCAAACTCTTAGCTAAACATTAAAAAAAAATAATAAAAAAATTGAACCAGCCAAAGCAGTTTTGCAGGCATCCATTCATTTCTGTATCAAAAAGCTGAGTCTTCCTGATACTTCTACCACAGTTTACTGATTTTTTTTAAAAATGGAAGCATATTACACCCTCAAAATTAAACAACAGTATCAAATTAAATCTTAACATCATCTAAACCAAACACTACAAAGTTGCCTATAATCCTGTCAGAAAAATATTGGAGATTATTTTTTTAAGATGACTCTGTTGAAATACCGTAGGGAAAAACATAGAACAAAAGCTTTTTCTTAATATTAAATATTGTTTAAATAAATTTGAAAGAATTGGGAAATTACTCCTGTCATTGGAACTGTGGATCCTGCACATTCAGAAAGAACCAGAGAGTTTCTTTGGAAAAAGGCCACCATGCTAAACAATTCCAGCTTAAAAATAAAAATCCCAACCCACCATGCACCATTATTACTAAATACTGGCAAATCTGCTAGAGCTATATACAGCTAAAATTTCAGATCTTGTGGTTTTACCAATAGTATGAACATTAATAAACCTATCAGCTTTGGCCATATGGAAAGGAGGGATGAATAAAGGTCTGGAAGCATTTAAAATATATAAACAGGAAAGAGGAAGTGAAATTGTGTTTGTGGTCCCAAGAGTTATAACTAGGAGTAATGAAATCAATGTAAGAATAATTACAAGACTTAAAAACCAAACCAAACCAAAAAAACCCCTAATAGTAAGAGCTATTTTGTTATGAATTAATTTCCCCAGGGAAGCAGTAGAGGAAGTGTTGCTTCTATCTTTGAGATTAGATTGGTTCAAACTCTCAAATACAGCGGATGCAACACTTCCTTTGACTCCTCAGCATATACATTAAATAAGAATATTTTCTACTTTTTTGAATCTATTCTGCATTTTCAATGATCTAACCAGCCACAGGCGCTAAGATGACTTAACATGGCACCACTTCAGAAGTCTTCAGGTCATATGAGCCCAGTTAAGTGATCAGTTTACAAATCATGCTGAAATACCTGTTTACATCAACAGTAAACACTGGAAAAAAAGAGCAACTAATGAGTACTAACAAACAAGCCTTCTGTCCTTTTCCTTTTGGACAAAGCTTTATTAGGAAAAGACAGTGAATGTAATAATCTATCACTCTTCTAACAGTAGCCTAATTAGTAATACTGAAATTCTTTCTTCCATTTCTTATTGCTGAACTTGCCCCATACCTGGGAAGAGATGATCAGCTGTAACAAACCAGACAATTAACTGATCTGCCTGAAAAGATGACTGTGGATCTTTTTTTTGTATTATTCTTGCAATATTTTTAGCATTGTCATATCTACTGGCAAAATGTCTTAGAGGCAATACAAATTTGGAAGTAGGATGGAAAAATGATATAGTTCCTAAATTACAAAACATCCAGAAGAACTGTTGAGTTTCAATTTTACTGAAAACTCTACATGCTATCCAACAACTGAGGAAGCAAGACTTAGGAAATAGATAAGAGAAGGTGATACTAGGGGACAGAACTAAAAGGTAATAAAAATTTCTGACAATTAAAAACAAAAAATTAAAAAAAAATTTGTTTTGCTAAACAATACTGAGAAGTTAAGCTTTTACTGACACTCCCCTCTCCATGAGATTAAAAGTGCATGAAAAAAATACAGCATCAACCAGAATCAAGATTCTTTTTGAAATCTTTATGCCAGCTTTCACATCTAAGCAGTGACATTAGCTAACAGGAGACATTTTAAGTATACGGAATGTCATATATATATATATTCATACACAAATATTCAATAGGATTTTCTTTTTTTTTTTTTTAATTTAGGAGAATGGCTTGTTTCAAGTTAAAGTTCTTATTAGAATATATAAGAATAAGAGTTGGTTTTTTCAATCATAGAGCAATCTGAACGGCAAACTGAAGTATTTTCTCTGTAGCAAGTCCTGGATTAATGCCAAAACACCCACCATAAGCTCAATACCAAGTACTCTAGCTAAAAAATAAACCAAAAAATAGAAAAAAAACCACTTTGAAATCAGCTTTCCATCTAGAACCTCTATTAATTTTAATGGCCTTGTGAAATCCTGTACCAGCCAACTGAAAGCAGTCAGCATTTTTTCTGCAAAAGAAGGATACCGGAAAATGAGAGGTTTCTAGTTTTTCAGCTGGTTATTTTCTCAAGAATCTTTCTGGGTGCATCTAGATATTAGCAGTTTAGTTCAGGTCAGGAGTATGAATTGAAATCTCCACAAGTCATCCCCACTTACAGCACTTTGTTTTACATTGCAGAGAGGTCTCAGAGCATGAAGACTCAATTGCTTCTGGACAATGTTAACTCAGAAGATGTCCTGCAGGAGCTCATCTGATGTGCTGTAATTACTGAAGGGTACTCCAGCCACAGGACCACGTTAGGACTAGTCTGAATCCAAAACTTCCCAAAACTTACAGTGTGGATGTGGGGTCCTTGGAGTGAATTGGTCCTCTCTACAGACCCACTCCTATTGCATCACACTACTAACCTAGACATAGCCCTCAGAAGCTGCTAAACCGAGATAAATCTGTCCACATACTGCTCTCTTCTGTTGCAGACTTCTTGTCTAAAAAAGGTTACATCCTGTGTGAGTCTAGTCATGCAAGCAACTCAGCCTCTATTAGATGACTTGCATGGTACAGAAATACCATTCAGAAGCACAACACATTCAGATTAAAAAAATGGCACAGTTAAAAAGGATTAGGACCTTGGAATTATTTTTTTTTTTCTTCTCATTTTTTTTTTGCTTGGCCAACATTAAGAGTTTTATTCATCATTGATTTTTTTTCTTTTTTTTTTTTTTTAAGTCTCATGGGGTGATAGAAATTTAAGTACTCAAGACCATAAAGTTCAGACAACTGTGTAATATTCACATCTGCGTAGTGAAGGTTGGATCAGCATTTCTAGTAAAGACAGAATTTTTAACCTGAATGCAAGGAGTGATCAGACTATGACCTTTTTCCCACCTGTTCTAAATGTCTGATTAAAGAGGTCTAAAAATTGTAATTGGCTAATTTTGGGATGAGAGACACGTCAAGCTTTATTGATGATGGGTCCTTGACATCACATTCTGATAGAAGAGGAAAAAATGGCAGTAAGTCAATGCAATTTTATTAGCAGAAGAGTCTGAACTTTTTAGATCAATAGTTGATTTTAATATCATACTTCTGACCTACAAGACCAGTAGAGAATTGGCCCTTCTTTTTCCCAAGACTTATTCTCTTAATTCCAGACCTTCAGATTTTTTTTACAAGTCAAAGACCAAGAAGCTCACCAGGAATGACACAGCCTTCAGTTGCCATGTCCCTTGCCTCCAAATGTCCTTGCCAAAATCCATTAATAATTCAGAACTGTGACAGTTTGGGGATATGATTTTAGAGCACGTTTAAAGCAAAAGAGATATATTCCATCTGAATTTAAAAAAAAAAAGGTTCTCTTCCTGAGAAGCACAAAGAAAGTATACTGTGAAACAGGCACAAAAAGCCAAAAAGACATAGTACACATGGGACAAAAACAGAATGAAACTATGTACATACAGCTGCCAATTCACATATTTTTCAGTACTGCATTGAGTTATGTAAAATGTGAAAGTTTAAGATTTTCAAAGCTGACTTTGGGAATTTCGGTCACACAATTCTCCTAAAAATTACATTTGCAAGAGTTGTGGGGGTTGAATATCCTGGTCAGTTCTGAAAACCTCAACCTAAGGGGAAAAAAGGACCAACTGCAGAAATGGTATTCAAAAGCAAAAACTACCCAGTTCTGACACAACAGACATACAATAAAGTGAATTTCACAGGTTTATGACTGTTGTGGTGGTCAAATGAAAGAGGCGTAAGTAATCCAAGCTTGAAAAGATAAGACATTTTATAAGGCAGGCAAGCTTAACCATCATTATAAATGTTGAATCCAGTTAAATTTTGGAAAAAGCAGAGTTTTTGTAAGTTGCCTTCAAGGCTGCTAAATGACCTTACCGAGCAAGAGGTTTTATATTATGACTATGAGGTGGTTGTGAGCTCAGTATTACAGGATGTGAGGAAGGAACTTTGTATTCATCATCATCATCATCTGTGTGATCCCTTGATTTATCAGACAGAGAATTTGCTGAAGGAACAGGGCACCTAAGGAGATGAGAAAAAGATCAGGTTTGCTTTAACTGTTACATAATTGACCTCAGTATAATATAGAAAATACTCTCCTTTAGCCTAAACATCCTTAATACAGGTCTGCTACACATAAGGTAACAAAACCACCACATCAAACTAAAACTTGTAAGGTTACTGGCTTTTTTGTCACTGAGAATGCATAGAGAAAAGGGCAGTTGACCTTCTAAGAGTTCTAACAGCTACTTCAAGCATGCACAACATAGCAGATAATTTCAAAGAATTAGAGTACTAAATAGGCACTTACAAGGCTTAACCTGTTTGCACTTATCAAAAGAACTAAACAAAAGTTAATTCAGGGCAAATCGTATTTAGCAGGGCTCAGTGAGGCAGCGGATGTTCAGCCTTTCAGTGAAGTCTTGTTCCAGCCATAACATTATCAAACTTGCAGAATTTGCCTGTATTTTAAATTATTTTTACTTTAAACAATAATTGTCTTTAATTGTCGTCCTAGACAGTGATTTATATCACTTCTTGAAAGCAGTGGAAGCCCAGGAGAGACGTAGACTTTACAATCTCCATTTACAGGTAACAAGTCCCATCGTGGAGAATACTACTAGATATGAGATTTCTTGTAAAACAAAAAACTAACTCCTACTATCTGGTTTTCTGTTACATGAGTGTAAACAAAATGATGGGCAAAAATTTCATTTTAGTAAGCAGTCTGTGGAATGTAACTTTGTTAGATATTAACAAGCTCAACATATAGGTCTAGCAATCAACATCATCTACTTTTTTATACATAGAGTCCCTTCATTTATAGCAATTACTCCAATACATTAAGGTAAATAAGAAACTCATAAAACAGGAAATACAAAAACTTACCTTAAGGACTTAATTTAACTTCAGCTTGATCATACATGAAAACCACAAACAGAAGTTTCATTCTTAAGCTAGCAATAAGCGTACAACTTCAAAAATCATCTGGATATTCCATTATGCAGTGAATAGCACCTTTATTGTTTGCCACAAAAAAGCCAACAAATGGAGGACCTTGAATAAAGATGTACAATGCATCCACAGCCATTTTGACCTGTGGCTTGAAAGTACAGCTAATGGCCCCTCAGCCGAACTACAGGCTACATTACAAGATACATCTACTTCATGCATCATTTAGGGAAGTTCTTAAGGACCATAAGGAAATATGAGAAGGGACTGGACATGCTTTCTCTTCCTGTGGTCTAATTAGTTTGATTTTATCATAAGGGCAAGAGCTGAAATGACAGGCCAGGCCTATCTCCTTATTTTTTCAACACAAGTAGCACCTGACTCACACAACACACTTCTTCACAAAGGAAAAAACATACATCTCTCACTATTTACTGTAGATGATGCCATATGGCTTCAGAATGTCCAGGTACTCTGTGAACAAAAATGAGTAACTAACTACCATGAGTACTAGACAGTTGCTAAATGAATAAATAAATAAAGGGAGAAAGAAGGGGGCAGATGTGCTGCTTTTGTTTGAACATATTCAAAGTCTAGAACTCCCTAGATACTTGTAACTTCTCAGACGCTTTTTTCTTCAATCAGTAATACACTTTTTACTTCAGAAACAAGTTCACGTAAGAGAGGAATCCAACTTCTTTTGCAAAGACATACTAGACAAAGACGGGGGAATGATGGCACTGAATTGCAAACTCGATATTGCAGATTTCAACCTCCTTCTTTAGAGGGAGCAAATAGCAGCAATGCAGTGTGAAATCGCTTTATCCACCTTTGATTTCTTCGATGGACAAGAGGTTTGTGTCTCTGCTATGCAGCCGTTTAAAGAATAGAAGGTAAAAATGTAGCGGGACAATGAGAACTCTGTAGCATTCTCAGGCAGACATTGTAGTGTGTCTCAGTTGCAAGGCCCACAAAGAATACATTTTCTCATTTCTGTGGACATGCAAGTATTCTTACATGCCAAATCAGCATGTTCTGGATATGTGTTTTTATATATATATATATATATAAGCCTGTGTCTTTTGAAAACAATTAAAAATTGAATTGCTAGCTTCTGCAGATAGCAATGTTTTGAAATATTAATACCTAGACCAGAAAGGTCCAATACTGACCAAACCAGGTTGCTGGTACTGTTTGAAGCCCTCTTAAAAGGCTATTACTGGGAAACAACCATCAAAACCCCCCTTCTTTGAAGGCCCTGTCTGAAGCTGGTTATAGGAAAGATTTTGATTCCTGGAATACTGTGAATTAAATTAATATTTTTAAGGAAATCTACACAGTAAAACTGAGAGCCTGATCATCACCTGAACTAAGTATAGCATAATAGCTAGTCTTATCAGATTCTTGCTAAAACCAGTGCTCAGACAGGAAAGCTGGAGGATTTACTTACTGACAATTTTAAAACTAAATAAATGTGGTACGTTCAAGGAATACAAAAAAAAGTTTTCCCCTCTTCACCTAGTTCATGCCCCTGCTTTTTTTCTTACTTATTCAGTAGACACAAGAATCTAACTTATGTTATAAAAAAGCTACATCTTTATTCACAGGATACCAGTATGCATACATATGCCAAAATCAAATTTCCCAACATTATTGCACTGCTGAGAAATTGTTACTGGCTTGGAGCTATTATTAGACGTAAGTTCCAAGTCTCCTGCTTTTGAATACTGCGTAGCCTTTGACGAGTCCTTCACAATAGTAGTCTCTCTTTCCTTACATTTAAAGTAAGGAAAATATTTGCCAGGTTGTAAATATTATTATGTGATTAATATTTAGAAGGTGCTTTTGATTTGTAAAGCAGTAGAAGAGTTAGAGTACTAACATATAGCTAATATGCTCTCCATTAGGGTCCTAAAATTGTCCAATACTTATGTTTTATTAATATTTCAGAATTAATATTTTTTAAAAATCATATTACTCTTCCAATTTACTCCAGTTGTAATGATATTTGACTCCAAACATATTTTGCATTGTTCTGCTAGACGTCTATCCCATTTTCTTCATGATGATTGAAATTTCTTCAAGATCAAATTGTTTTATTAAATCTCTATTGTTCTAAGACCAACTCTATATTGCTCTACAGAAAACCACCAGTAAGATAAATAGACAAATATTTTAGGTTTTTGTAACGAAACAGATGAACATTGTCATTATAAACGAAGACATGAAACACTTAGGCATCTGTTTATCAAGCTGGTGAAATTTTCTGTAATTACACTTTAAAAAACTTCATTACTCTTACATCTTTAGAAGATTTGTGTACAGAGGAATACAAAACTGACCAGTACACTGTATTTATATATTCTTTAGTTCCCCTTCCTACTCCTTAAGTAGCAATATTTTAAAGCTGAAAGTCAGAATTACATTCTGATAAGTGCTGACTTTGTATTTTCTGCTTTGTTGAACAGAAGGCTAGATGTCAATCTCTCTTATCCAACTGAGCACCAAAGGCCAACACTGGAAAAGATGTGAGAATTCATTTTTGTCGAGCCACTTAATGTTCAACTTAGTTGTAAACAGAACCCCAGGGAAACCAACACCTCACACTTATTTGGAAGTATTTCAGGGAAAGGTTCCCCTTCTACCATTTTACTGGTAAACTGATTCACAGAACTTAGACATGATGAACTTGCAATCCATGTATTTCAGTCCTGATCAAGACTGTGCTTTTGAAATGAATCCCTTTTACCTCCCCGCTTACCATGCTTTGATCTGCACTGAAGAACGCACAACCTGAATATTTTTTAGAGTAAACTGCAATACATGATACACTCCAAGTGTGCCCCTACTAGTTCTGATTGCCAAAGACTGTTCACATTCATGGGACAAGACTACAGCTAGTTGAAGTGTTGCCCCATAACATGTAGAGCACAGACACCAGGTCCTTACTATCAACTCCTCTGTTTTATGCAGAGTACTACTTGCCAGTGCAAGCAAAAGCTTTAATCTTGTAGGGCCTTAAGCAAAATCTGCTTCAGAAATAAGCGTTAAGTTATATGGACCACATGATCAAGTCAATACTTGTCAACTGTCCTTGAGTGCGCTCTGCCCTTAAAACCAAAGTGTATACAAAGCAGTACACCTTCATTCATAGAGGAGGACACAATTTTCTATTTGTCACAGGGTAAGCCTGCATGCAACACAACGACAATTACCATAGAACAGCTGATGCATCCAAACTCGCTGGCCTGCCAAGCTATGACCTCAGGGCACGTTGTGTCATCCAGAGCGCATCATCTCTCAGATGCCTAGAACCTGTACGTCAGCAGTGCTCATTCTAACACCACTGGAGAAGTGCCATGCCAAAGGCTGATTTCAAGTGAGCCAGGATTTCCAAGTCACAGTTGCCTTTAATGGAACTATGACTTCACCTTCAAAGTTTCTTAGCAAGATGGAAGGGATAGCAAGAGGATAAATACCTCTCAGTACTACTTCTCCCTTAACTACCTCAAAGCAACTTGATATTCCTAAAATATTTATAGAATACAAAAGGTACTTGGAACTGGATGTCTCATTACACACAAAAATAGATGCTCTCTCGCAGAAAACATCACGGTGGTATAAAGCACTTTTGAGACAAAGAGGCCGGTTTTCTATCAATGTAGCAAAATGGGACCTACTCACAGGAATAAAACAAACACTAACTTGAACATTTCTAAGTTTTGGGGAAGAATGGTTCTGTATCTTCTACATAGAAGTTTTATTTATTTTTTCAAGAATAAAATACCAATTTGATCAAAGCTGCTAGAATAATGTGACATAATTACAGCAGTCCAATAAGACAATAACTGTTTTAACACATAAGGTCAGCAACATAGTGGCTGAGTGGAATGTAAAAATCAGACACTTGGTTAACATGAGTCCAACAATTCATTATTGAAGTATGGTTAATACTAACCAATTTCATAAAATGAAAATAAATCAGCACTGTTTCCAGAAAAAAGATACTAGTGCTTTTTCTATTCATTTAATTTAGGAAAGAAAAAAGAAAAAAGTCATATTTATAATGTCTTATTCAGTAAAAACTGATCAAACAAGTCAAGTAGGGATGTTTTAGAATTGTGAAGTTTCAACTAAGGGTCATTTTGCCTCCTCATTATTTAGACTAAGACATTTCACTCATGGTCAATGTATCCTTCAGTCAAACCTTTGAAATCACAGACTTAGGATAATAAGTAGAAAAAATAAAATGCCTTGCAGCTGTATGAAATGAACTAGCTCTCAAGCCACAACTCTGCAGAGGTGGAAAAGTAGAAAAAAAAAATGAGAAACTTGCACCAGATCGATTGCAGTGACACAGTCGTGAAAAGCAAGAGTATTTTGGATCAAGTACAGCTCAACATATTTATAAGGGCTTAGTGAAGTCAATTTAACAGGAGGAACAATATGCTGTAAAAATATTCTCTCCAACATTTCAAATTAAATCATGTTAAATATTATTTAGCTTATCTTTTTGAAAGCAGTTGCTGAGGTTGGTGGAAATATTAAACTTATTAAACTTGCTATTTTTCAAGATTCCTTCCCCCTAGTTTTTCCATCTACATATTGGCACACATTATTATAGATTATTGGGGTATTTTCTAGTGGTAACAAATACTTAATTTGAAATAAATTTAAAAATAGATATATCAGTGTTTCAAGAAACAACATATGATGATCCATTTTTAACAGCCATTCCATGTGACATTTTAGTAGTAGTTAATTAGATAAATTGAACATCTTACCCCTAGGTTAATATTGATATTTTTATATTTTAAAAATCAAAATTTAAAATGTGCTGTATAATTTTTAAAAAGTTTAAGTACAAAAAGAACCCAGGAATTAAAGTTAATTTAGTCCTGAAAAGTTTATGGAGTTTGGTTTTAGCAAATGAAGATTTTCTTTTGGCTGGAATATGTCAGTTTTCTATTCAGAAAACTTCAGCTAATGAAGATATTTCTTTTGACCAAGCTAAATCCACACATTCTAGTTTTGGATTGTCTTGACATGGATTTTGTGCCATTGCTATGATATCCTGGGGAATTTCCCATGAACACTGTACGGTGTTTGTATACATTGTACTTTGATTCTAGGCTACATTTGCAAAAATCTGCAAAAAATGGGATGTTCATGAAGCAGAATGTTTTCTTATTTCAACACCATGAAAAATAAAAACAAGAATCTTCTTCAGAATTCAATTTGCTTTGTAATGTGCAAGTATTTAGTTTGTCTGTCAGAGTTATTGCTTTGTCTTTCTGACTGACAGTGTGTGGAACATCCCAGGGGTTGCACTATATCATGGAAGGAGTAGTCAATCCAAGGAGATCAATCTATAGAGGGGATTGATTTCATGAGGTATCCAAACAGTATTCCTGTGATACCCTATCTCAATCAAGTTACATCACATAACATTCAATTACAAAAACGTCTGGATAATGTTCTAAAATTTGCTTCTGAACTGAAAGTAAACAAGGAGAGCTTCAACTCGACAATTATTCCACCTGAACACATGTTTCTGAATGAAAAAGTCAATGCTCCGCTGCACCTTTATTCTAACACTTAAGAAAAGAAAAACCAGCATATTCATGAAATGCTGAAATATATTTGTCTTTTGTATTACCACTAACTGAACAACAATGGAAAGAGTTCTGAAGATACGGTGAAAGTACACACTAATGAGAAAATTCTCACTATTAATATGTACTGACTACCCAATTATTTTATTTAACAGCAAGAATCACAAGGAGTACATTGCAAAGAAACTGTAGGATAACATCAAACATTGTGATACGCTCTGATTTCCTTACAAAACCACAAAAAATTGGCAAAGTACTTCATAGCACTTCCAAGCTTTCTATTATAAATATCTCTTGTTCTGTAGAAAATCCCATGTGCTATGCACAGCAACATCTTGGTACCAAATAAACATCCATGTTACTGGAAGACCAAGAGCAGTCTGCAACTTGAAATGACAAAATTTCCCAAATCATATTCTGGAACTCAGGGAGGTTGACACCATTTAAAATGGATATAAAATTTTTTGGGTTTTTTTTAGCCACAACAAAGAAAAGATACTGGTGTGAACCCTGGATAAAGCTCCATGTGTAGAAAGCGTGACTCGAATAGGGGCAGAATGCACACAAATGATGCTCTTTACCCTTAGTACTTTCTCAAGAATCTCTCATCTCCTGCAACAAATACCTCTGACCACACTTCTGTAGCAGTACCAGCAAAACCAGACAGCGTCTGCTCTCACTGCCAAATGCCTGCAAGCAAGATCTGCCACAATTTATTCTCTCTTCCTATAAAAATGTACTATGTTCAATTAACATTAGAACTGCTCCCACTTAATCAATACAATTTACGTTTCCTTTGTAAAGCCACATTAAAGTTCATAGAAAATGTATCACTAAGTTATATTAGTTCATTTTATTTCTTTCTTTTCCCTGTTTTTCTTTTAGCACCATAGAATCAGTGCTATTATCTAACATTAACACATTTCTTTTACAAATAAAGTCAACTTACTTTATACTAGGGATGATGGAGGCAGCTGGAAGAGGGGGTGAAAGCCGTGGAGGGACATCATACTCTTCGTTTATCAGATGACCATTTGAAAAGACCTAAAAATCACACAAGTGTTACAATGGGTCTTCTCCCATTTATCATCATAGGTGTTCATCAACTAGGTATTACGCATAATCTTCTCAAGGTCTATTTTGTAAAGACTCTCCTAGGAGTTCATACTACAGAGCCGTATCTGGAGTGACTCTCTCATACCCGTTTCAGCTCACCCCATTTGGGAGCTGTAGAACACAGCTTAAAACTTCACCGAAAAAGGCAGTTCCACATCATGGTTACTAGATGGACTACTCAAAGCTGAACTGCTTGGGGGAAAATTAAGATTTTGAGATTGCAAACTGATCAAAGTGAGAGAGATAAGTACAGTGAGAAAACAACAGGTACAGCATGCTAAACTTATTAATGTTTTTTAAAAATCAGTGATATGGTGCCTGCCAAAATCCACTTCCTACCCATAGGATTGTCTTCCTGATTCACCCACAGGATTGTCTTCCTGATTCTTGGCTTTTCCCAATAGGAAAAAGATTATGTTACAATTAATAAATGAATCAGGAATGAAATTCATTACATGTTTCCCTTGTGAATGTGTACACAGTCTGAAACGGTAATTCCGAGTTGTCAGTTGCTCCACTTAACCGAATGGCTTAGATCTATAACCTGAAGATGACAGTTCAAACAGCATTTGATTAAAGAAATACGTATGTAATGTCTCCTGACTAAAATGGCACTTCTACACTGAGTGGTTATTCTGATTTGAGAAGTATTTATTCCATCAGCTTCAATACTGCACCAGACCACAACTGGAATGCTGTATGAAGATAAAAACCCAGCATCCTTTTAAAATCAGACTACAAGGTATCACATTTTAAACAACACCCTAGTCGTAAGTAAAATTTTGTGGTTTGCCTCAATGCTGACAAAAGGACATTGCAATTATGTATAGTATCACAGAGTTCTTAAGCACTTTTCATCATATATGTCAATGTTGTTTGCCAATACTAATTGAATTTCAGTAACGTACTTTCAAAATAACGAAAACATCCATATAAAAAAAAATACAAAATTGAGATAGAAATGCTAAGTAGCTTGTGACCTTGGGAAAAGCAAATAGAAAGAAAAAATTATCATTTCTAACTACTGTGACTTAACCACAAATCCATCCTCCTTAGCACAATCTATGCAGTCTTCAAGGAAAAAAAAAAAAAGAGAGCAGCAGCTTTGAGTTAATAACCTGCTCTATGAATAAATTACCAAGCTGCTTTGATAAAACTGATTAGAGCAGAATTAGGTTTTTCTTAGGCCATCATCCCTTAATCTCTTTTCAAACCTGAGCCTCCCCAACTGTACATGGTCTTGCAAGTTGTCTGAAGCTGCCTATTGCCAGAACTACTCCCACTATGCTCCCCCTATCTTCAATTAACATATAGAAACAATCCTTCAATTTTTTTGATAGAAGAAATACCACAGTTACACATACTATTCACTGCAACCAAGGACAGGAAAACATACTTCTGTGGGTGACAAGCAGATGCCCCCTAGCCAAACCAAGCTAGACAATCAGTGGAAAGGTTAAAAGTGACAACTCTGAACATGGATTACTGGGCATTACACCGGACATTTGTCCAAAAGAAGCCAAAAGCTGCTATGGACGAATTACAACAATGTACAACTCCAGCAACTGGAGTTCTGATTAAAGTACAAAGGAGGAAAAATTCAAAGACATGTGTATTACTGTAAACAACTGACAAAGAAAAAGGGAGTTGTAATGCTAATTATCCTAAATAAGGTTTAGCGTATTGACAATAATAGAAATCAAACCAAATCAGTGGAGTTGTGCCACTGAGCACTTTCAAGGATGCTGCTCAATGACTCTACATTTAGCTTGGCTTTGGATCTATTTGTTTCGTCTTTCTTAGTCTCAAGGCAGGTTAGATCTTTTCCTTTAGAGTATACTGAACATCGTGACTAATTTAACACTCTTTTGAAAGTAATGTTTTACTGATGAATGCAACTGACCCTTAGAATATTTAGCTTTTTATGTGAATGCACACAATATGTCTGACAATTTAAGTATATTTGTATACATCACCTGTACATATTGCATACATTACAGATTGAAGATATTACCAAGTCCTGACCCCACCTATGACAGAGGTAACTGGAAAATCTACTATTCCATCAGCAAATGCATACACAATTTTGGAATAAGACACTTCCAAAGTGGACCTGAGATGCTACATAACTATACTACAGCATACAGTGGTATATTATTATCATGCACCAACTATATGGCTAATTTGCTAAAAGAATATAGCAAATCTAGAATTTTCTCTCCAAGCCATTCTCTTTTGAAGTTTTCATGTTAAAAATTGTAACTTAGAACCTCATGTACTGCTGCTTTACAAATTACAGTATTACCATTTTTTTATGGCCAACTTATTATTAAGTCATGACAGGAAAGATTCTGAAACAGCAGATCAACACTGACCAACTAGTACTTTAGCCAATGCAAGACAATGCTGCAGTGGGGTATCAAATTAGGATTCACCATGTTTGGCTCTTTCATACCTTGGCACCTTCTGTAGGCAGCTCGTGACGTCTGTGTTTCCTCATAAACCCTGGATCAGAACTTATGCGGTTGTGCCTTCCATTTATGTTTGAAATTGCAGTCAGTCCTGGTTTGGGAGAAGCATCACTCCCTATTCGACATCCCACTAACTGACTTGTCCCAAACACGTCTCTGGGACACCAGCCTTCAAGTGGCATCGGCTGGTCTCTGGAAGGCACGCTTTCCGGATGATGCAGGTGTCTGCTTATCCTGTTGTCTGGTGGAATTGGAGGGGGTCTCTCTGGTGGGGGTGGTGGAGGATCACGCAAGGGAGGTGGTGGTGCTGGCAAAGGTTTGTCTTGTTTCCTCACCATACAAGGAGAAGACTAAACAACACAGTAAATTAAAAAAAAAAGTTACACATAGGCATGCATATTTCTCTCGTGATCAAATATGGCTTTACCATTTCTAATTGAGGTATTGTCAAGGCATCACAAGAGTACTTGCCAGAAAGTTAAACGTTAATCTTGTCTTTGCATTCTGCAGACAACCTGGCCTCTCTTCAGAAAGCATGCCCCCATTTCTGCTGTTGCAGAGTAACACAAGGAAGGAGGTGGATTGGAGAAAACAAAACTGACTAAGGCATATTTATCTGACCCATAACTTTTTTCCACATTCCTTTGCTTTGGTCCTTTGAATCACTTACTTAGCTGCTGAAATGAATTCTGAGGAATGTTTGGAAAAAACTGAAAACCAAGTTACCAAAAAACCCCAAACCAAACCTTATACAGATAGCTGTATAGCCTCCAAGAGCACAAATCTCATAAAATCAAAATGTTTTCATTAGGTGTGAATTACTAACAGCATTTTACAAAATGACACTCAGGCTGGGTCTTTACGAAGTGTTTTTCCTCTTACCACCAGCTACCATAAGGAATACAGGGAAGATGATTTCCCTTGGCAGGTGAAATTTGCATGGATTCTGATAAACCTGCATATTACTACCACTTGAAGAGACAGAGGCTGCAAAATTTTAAAGTCAGAATAGTATTTGCTCTCACTTCGCAGGTTAGCCCACCACTATTCTTCGAGCAGCAGCTCAACAAGTTACTTAGATTGAAAATAAAGTTATTCTACTTGCAGGTCTATATCTTCTGGTTTTTATAAGACATGAACTTCGTAAAAATACGCTATTGTAAAACTAACTTTTAATGGCTGTGCCAAATGTTTAGCATATATTCTTAATGTGTTATAAATTCCTTTGTATAATATAAAAAGCAATTAAAGAAGCTCAAAGAAACTATTCAAAGTTCTGGTTTTTTCTCTAAATTATAAACCGCTGTAATCTTAAAAAAGGTTGATTTTCAAGCTTGAAATAAAAACTTGACAAAATAAATAAGGTATTTCATACTGTATTACTATGAGCACAGAGGTTTCAAGTCATGTTTTGAACTTGGATTTGAATTCATCATCTAAAAATCAAAATTTATATCTAATATCCCATCTATATAGCAATCACATCAAAATGATCAACTAGAATAGAGAGCAACAAACATAGTATTTGTTCTCATTCATGCTTATCCACTCAAAAAATCACTACCTCTTTAGTATCATTAGTTTCACAAAATACAGCATACAATTTATTAGCTATACAGTCATTATTATTTCCCTTGAAACTTGAGTTCTAATACATGCCAGTTAAGGTTTTGAAAGCAGGGTATCTCCACGTATTTTTCTTGTAAGGATGCTGTGAAAAATGAGCACAAATCATCATCAGATGTAAATGTAAATTAAATAAGACAATGACCGTAAAATCTATTTTCAGGAAACTTTAATTTCTATTTTTTTTCATGAATCAGGATTTATTACAGAATTGATCCATTACAGCAATGTCTTTAAAATTCTGACCATAGCCAAGTGCTATATAATCATCAGACAAACAGAGGTCACATTTGACCAAAATACGTAGCTGTAAACATTTGACTATGTAAGATATTATGCAAAGGAACAGGCACTCGCCAAAATCAGCTGAAGGAGGTAAGAGACGTAGTCAATGCGGATGTAACCTAAAGTTTTTCTAAACTACAAGGAATTAAAAGTTCTTTTGGACAGAGCAAAACTCCTGAAAAAGAAAACACACATGGAAAATAGTCTGTCTTCCGAAATAAAAAAGCAAGCTCACCTTGAAAACAACTGAACACAATTTCTCAATATTCATATATAAAGAAATAATGATTTAATCAAGTTGTACCTTTGGTGATCCAGTTGGGCTGGCACATGGTGACCGTGCTACTCCCTTCTGAATAAGATCCAGCCGAGGAGGTACAGGTGGAAGACTAAGATGTGGGATTTGCAGGGGGTCTGGAAGTGGTTTTCTTCTTTGTGCAAGAGGGGAAGATCCTGGGGAAGTCACTGGTGAATTCTGCCTCTCATTGCACTTCAAGATAAAAAAAAAAAATAATAAAAAAAATATTACTACTATTTACCTGATGACCAAGTATACAACTTCCATTCCATGACTAAAACACATGACACTTGTCAGGTACTTACTAATACTCATTTATCATAACAGACACCCCGCCACTCTTAATTAATAGACAGTATAGTCACTTAGCTTACGGTTACTGAAAAAGAAGTCAGCAAGTCATTCTACCTCAAAACTAAAGATCCATGTTAATTCATGATGAAAATAAAAGAATATATATTGCAGTAATTTGTTTAAAAAACAAGCAATCATTGTCAAAAGGAAACAATCACATAGAGATTCTACTGTAGTACTGCTACTCTTCATGACTTTTTTATTCAGAGTACTCCATCCAAAATTCTATACATGACTTTTAAAAGCCAGATGCCTATGATATTGTCTATTAACTGCCCCCCATTTTCGAAATGTATTCCATAGAAAATGGAACATATGTGTCTTCTGAAAACTTACAAATCAAAAATCACGAGCTAGCCAGTAGGCAAAGTAGTTATTCCTTTCCTCGTTAATTTGCTGATTTACAAAATCATTCTAGGACAATTCAGTTTATCATTTTAGCAAATATTAAACTAACCACACACACACATTTAACATTGCCCTCAAGTGACAAATGATGACTTTTTTTTTTTTCTTGACTCATCCTTTCAAATTCATCAGAATCAAAGATTTCAATCCTCACCATTTTTGCAACTAGTTCCTGAACCTCATCTGGCTGAGGTTTAACAAACACAGTTCACTTGTTTGCATAAATCAGTTGAAGTTACTTCTGTGAACTCACTGTATTTGTATCAGTGTACTGTAAGCAAACCAGGATGTTTACGCTGTTCCGTGCTTGCCCTGACAGCAGACATGAGTAGCTGGAAGGAATTCACACCAAGCATCAGCCTCAGGCCACTTGTGCACTGAGGCATCCCTGTATTCTCGCAACATAACTTGCCTGTAGAGTCTAACAATCTGCCATCTTCTTAAGGCAAGCATATAAAATTGCTCACCAATGCTACGTGTCCCGTAGTGATGGGACTAGAAGTTCTTTAACAAGGTAAACAAACAACCAACATTGCCTTTCTTTACATATAGCGACTATGTTAAAGAATCTGAAAACTTCATAAATTCAAAAGGAGATCCAGGAAAAGAATCTAGTATACTGACTCCTTACCCTATGCACTACAGCTTAGTTTAATATTCTGTCCTATGCAATTGGGATCACTACCAGATCTCCTTCAGAAACAGGAGCTACCACAGTATTACTGGATAACATTGCAAGAAAAAATGAGACAGAGGAGTGAGGTGGTGTTGAAGAGCTAGAAGGCTGAGGTTCAATTCCATTGCCAGAATGATTTATTTTGTGATACGCAGGGGTTTACGTATATAAATGTATAAACTTGGTCTATATGTGTAAGCTCAGTGTCACAACTACACATTCAATTTCAAGAGATTGAGCAACTCAAGATTCATGCTCTTCATGGCTACCAGAAGCTTCCCAGTTTCTCCTTTCTATAAAGAAGTGGTCGCAATGTTCACATTAAATGGCTTGAATATAGTCCTTAAATTTTCTTTGTTTCCTTTAATTAATGAACATCCCTGACCTTGACTGAAGTCCGTGAGGAAAAACACATGAATGATTGTGAGGTGCTTAGCCTTTCTAAACATTATGGGAAGTTGAATAACTAAGCTAGATATGCATCTCGCAAGCATGCCTGGGTAACCATAATTATAACATTACTGTAAACTGAATGTCAATTCATTTTCCTTAGCAGAAAGCATCTGTCAGTTAAATAGCATATTAAACACTGTATCATTTAATAGCATTAGTTTTCAAAGTTTAGTTATAACTCCAATTTGCATTCCTAAAAGCCAAGAGCCATGTAATATAATATATTCAATGCTTTGGCTTCAGCATCAGACAGAAAATGAATTTATTTCCCAAATTATTTGAAATAGAACCAAATAAGGAGGTCGCTCACCTCCAAAAAGATACCGTTATTTAAAATAAATGAAAGTGTTGTAGTAAGTCTCT